GAACTGTCTGAGTGTTGGGCCACAAATTCTTATAGCCCAGGGCCCCCTCCCCCAGCTGTTTCAGGGAAGGAACCTCTGTACTGAAGTTCAAGAGCTTAAAGGCTCTGTGGTACGTAGCTGTAATGCCTGGATGTTTCCATAACAAAATAGAGCTATGATAGTGTATTGCTACTGACCAGGGAAGCATAAAGGAAAGGTGCTTTTCTGTTATTTGTGGAGTCACACACATGCAAGCCACAACACAGAACACTCTAGAACTTTAGGCAGAACAGGAGGCATTCCAGTCCCTCCTCATGACCAGAGGTGGTGATGGTTAGGTTTTGGTTTTGTTTGTTTGCCTGATACACAAATGCTAAAGGGCAAGGAGAGTTTGCAACATTACTTTTCTAAAGGTGGCATCTGCTATAGCATGCATTTGACAACTTTGGAAAATGTGGCTCATATAGCAGTTTGACCAGGGGTCATTTCCTGCAGGAGCGCACAGGAGCGGAGCTCCGGCAGTAAAGAGCCCAGGGGGCGGACACATGTAACAAGCCCCACCCCCTGCTCCCAGCATCACCTGTGTAAACTTGTTGTTATCAAAAATGTAATTCTCCTCATGCTCTTTTTCTATGTGAACAAGGACACATGAACAACAAATGTGACAGCCCCTCTCATATATACTTTATGTTGCCTTCTGACACACTTCCGGTGGTGTCAGGGGGTGTGGCATATGCAAATAAGTTATACTAATAAGGTATGCTAATGAGCTCCTGTACCTCTTTTTCTATGAAATGACCCCTGAGTTTGACATATTTTGTTGTTGTTGTTCTTCAGTCGCGCAGTTGAGTCTGACTCTTTGCGATCCCATGGACCACATCACGCCAGGCCCTCCTGTCTTCTGTCGTTCTTGGAATATTACAGGTCCCTTATAAAGGATGTTGGCATGTAGACAATTCTCACAGCTTCATAATAGACATAATACGTGAAAAGTCTCTTGTCATTGCAGTCCTAAGCAGAGTTATATTTTTCTAAACCAGTGGGTTTGGAAGGCTGTAAATCTTCTTAAGATTGTTCTATTAATCTCTTAGTGAGGTCTTGAAATGGAAAGGAGGTATGAACCTCCTCTCTGGTTCTGCTCAAGTGACGGAGGTGGTTTACAAATGTCAGGTGCGTGTAAAGCTCACTTTTGGTGGCCCTTTGGCCTGGGAAGGAAGAATGGGAAGGACTGTGTCTTGGTTTAGGTGCAACCCCAGAACTATTTTGGGACCTGAGCCCAAGGTAACCAAATTTTGACAATTATGGCAGCACACCACCCACCCAGGCTGACCAGATATCAGTTGTGTCTGTCCATCAAAGGGACTTTGCAGCTGATACACCTTGAAAATGATCCACTGAGCCAAAGGCATGCAGGGGCAGGATGAAACCCAACCAAAATAAAATGAGGGCTTTGATCTAACACTGAATAAATAATGAACAAACCAAAACAAAAAATGAAAGCAACCCCAGATAAATAAAGGAAGAATATTACAAGTGGAAATAAGTTCAAAAAGAGGGAGGTTTTATTTTTGCTGCTGCTACTGCTTGTAAAGGGCTAAAGAGAACTGCATATGAAGGTACTTGCCGTGCCTGTAGACACATGCAAGAGGCAGAAAACTGACAAGAGGGGTAAACAGCTTGTGTCTTGCTCCATTTCAGAAGCAAAAGATAAATAACCAATCCAGATAAGTCAGTGGATAGGATGGAGACTTAACGCCAAATAGACCTCTTGCATAGCTACTGAGAGGAGTATTTGGATCAGAACTCTTGCATGTGGGAGGTAACTTATTCCCAGTGCATGGTTTCCCCAACATCTATCATCCCAATGCTCCCCAAGCCTTTATTTGCCCATCAGAGGAAACATACAGGTATCGTATGGGTGTCTGTATGTTCTCCCCTATGGGGCAAATACCAACTTGGGAAGGGGGAAAATAGTTTGACACAGGGAAAAGGGTTTACTCACTCATGCCACAGCTCTGATCCAAATCTGCCTATGTTCTTTCTACTCTAAAACAGTATGCATCCATGAATGCCTCAGCTACATCAAGATTAGACTGCTGTGATGTGCTCTACATGTGGTTGCTCTTGAAAACTATTTTGAACCTACAACTCGTACAGAATGTTACTATTTTGATGGGTAGAAGTGAGAACATACTATGCCAACTCAAAAACATTTCATTTTGTTACTGGTTTATTTCCAGGCCCAATTCAAGGGCTTAAAGCTTTAAAACCACATACATTCTGGGTCCCAAGTTATCTCAAAGAGCGTCTTCTCCCATAGAAAAGATTTCTAGGCCTGAATAATCCATTAGAGTTGTACAGTCATCTCCTCCAGAAGCAAGGCCTTTCTGTGGTGGCTCTAGCACGGAAGACCGTGGCTCCCTTTCCCTGAGAGGTCCACGTTTGTCCTTTCTTGGTGCCTTTTTGTAGACAAATGAAAACATTTAACCAGCTGCTTAGGGAATAATGGAGAGTCTCCCTGATTTTATGTGGCTTTAAACTTTGGTGAGTATTAGTTTAATGGTATTGTTTTTCTGTTTTGCATGGATTGTTTTTTTATACATATTTTAAAAAATGGTCGTACATCATCCTGTGGCTAGTTCTCTGATGAAAAGGTGTTCTATAATATTGTAAGCTCATAAACCTCCAGGGGCCCCCTCCTATGAGCACAGCAAGGCACAGAAGCCATGAAGGGGACGGGGGGTGTCCTTTTCCATTGCTTCTCAAGCCCACAGTTACACCTCCCTTCATCAGTTCGGGCTTCTGCCTTTCACGGCTGTATTTCTTCCCCTTGCCAACTGTGCACTCTTTCTCTGAGCAGCAGACTGTGCAAGAGAACCCAGTGTCCCCCACCCATTTCTTCCTGACAGGTTGTGGATGTTTCCCCAAATGCCGCTCCTGCACCATGATGAGAGATCCTCTGTTTCCACAGGCACACCAGAGCAGGGAGCAGGTGGAACACTGGAGTGACGGATGGACCCATCTGGCTGATGGCCCGGGGGCTCCAGCACAGGCACCTCAACAGCTGCGCACAGATGGCACGGGCTCACTCAGCCATATTGAATTTACCTTTCGAGACAGAGTTCACTAATTGTACTTTGCAGATCCTTCTCTGTAACAGATTGATTGGGCAGCAGAAGCTATTTAACCCACCACCCTCGTACCTCCCACACAACTCTGAGCCATAGCTGAGCTCCCCCTTCCACCTGGGGAGCTGTGATCATGGTTCCTATCCCAAAAAAAATCCCTGTGGCATGGCCAGCTGCAAGGGCTTTGGGGTCCTGCTGGTGCCTTGACAGCGCTGGGCCTTTGTGCTGCTTGCTGAGGGCAGAAGATAGCTGCCAAGGGAAGCCGCCGGCGGTACGGATGCTTGCAACATGGCAGCCTCTTGGATTCTGTCGGGTGGGATATTCCTTAAGAATATATGTGGGGAACCCCAGACTGCTGGAACAAGGAGGGAGCTGCAGCTTGGGCTGGAGAAAAAGAAGAAACAGTGGCAGCAGCAGAGCTGGAACAGCAGGCCATGCGGAAAGGAGGGGGGTGAACCACGACCTGGGACAGCAGATGGTCTGTGTGGGATGGGATTGAAGGAAAGGGAGCTGAGGACTGGGCTGGGCTACTGGGGGGGGGAGGGGGGCTGCAGATGCATACAAAGAGGCGGCAGCAAAATTCAAGATGGGGAACAGAAGGTGGACAGTGGGATGGGATTGAAAGGTGTTAGCAGATCTGAAGGGGAGACCCCATGGATGAAGCCACTAATCATGGCTAAGTGGAATTGTCAGCACTGATGCAGAGTAGCTTTTGGGGTCAAAACAGATGGAGCTTTGAGAAGAATTAGCACAGAGAGGAAGAAGAGCCTGAGTTCTGTAGCAGACCCTATTAGGAGATTTGGTACATTCCCTGGAGCTGCACAGACAGGCTTCTCTAATACCTGTGACCAGTGCCATAGGCCAATGTGCCACTTGTAGCTGTCAAAAGACCACAGTGCAGGTCACGGCAGCACCAACAGAGAGAGGGGAAACACCAGTGCCCATGTAGGCTGTGGCATTATCCAAGCACCAGGCAAGATTTAAAGCTCCTCGGCAGTCCAAATCTCAGCCCCAGCTTCAGAGCCTCCTACAAAACAAGGCAGCAGATTGTTGGCTTCCACAAGCTACACACCCACCCGATACACAAAGTCTTCTCTCCATCCATCTGCTGGGACCATCAGGAGTTGGGGATTCAGCATCTGTTCCCCCAGGGAGGTGTGAAAGTGACAGCAACGATCACGCAGACACAGAGCGGAGGGAGGACAAGCCAGGAGTTGGAGTGACTTGACAGCACGAAAGAAGCTTAAAGCAAGAGAGACTGAAATGTGGGGGTCTGGATTGACAGAGAGATGCTGCTTAACTGAGTTGTAACTCTTAATTTGATTCCGTTCCTGGAACCCCAGTTTCTTATTTCCCCATTAGCCCAGCAGGCAGTTTTCTTACCACAGCATAGACAGGTGGACTTTCTGCCGGCAAAATGTTCTGCCGGTTAAATGTACACACATTTATAGGGATTAACGGGGAAGGTTTATTTTCAATGTTTCACTTATATCTCTCCTCTAAAATCTCCACATCTCTCAGACAGAAGCCACAGACCCCCTTCTGTCATGCTGCCCTTGTGCTGTTTGCGAAGTATCGGAAGCTGGGGGTGGTGGTGGCTGCCCTATCATGTTCTCCCCATCCCTACTGCTGCCCCTCCTCCATTGATTTCACTGAGGCTTCTCCACATTACATATTAAAAAGGTACTTCGTGTGTTCATATAAATATGCAATTGATGATTGTGCCAAACATGTATCTTATAAACTTCCAGGGAGCTGTGATTCGCTGAATCTCCCAGGCTGATCTGCACCTGGTTGCCAACGCAGATTTTATGCCAAAATGAGTGTGAAACAGCCTCTTAGACGGCAAAGAAATGAATGAAGCATGTAGATCTTGGGCCCCTCGTGTGGCAGCCCTCAAATACTCCCTCATGCTCACTTGCATTTTCCCCACGGGTGACAGTGGCCGTAGAAAGCTGTCCAGGAGGGTGGGCTGCGACTCATCTGGACTAAAAGATCTTGTTGAATGTTCCTGATGCCACATCATTGTTCAGAGTCTGCATCTTCACTCATCCTAGAGAGGTGGAGAAAAAAAGAGCAAGGAAATTTCTAGGGCTGTCAACGAATTAAAAGGTTTTTTTTTTTTTTTAAAGCTCATCAACAGACTTGCTGTTAACCAATTAATTAGCCTGTTTGAGTAACATTTTCGGTATCTCGACAAAGATATTATAAGGCAGTCTTCGAGTCTGCTCAGTTCCCGCCAATGTTCCCTCTAAGCTGTGGAGTCTTCTTAGCAAAAATTCTACTTTCTGAGCTACTGGCACTAAAGTTGTGAGTGAGCGATTTGGCTGCTGCATCAGTTAGTTTGCTCTGGAGCCATCCTTCCTGAGCAAAGACAAAGATGTGTGAGCCGGAGGCTAAAAACTGTGAGCTGGCTCACACTAACTCAGCTTAGGGGGAACAGTGGTTCCCGCTGGTTTGTGATTGTTCTTCTTTGTTGTGTGGGTGGCTGGGATGGGCACATAGATTGGGAAACCTTCATGAGGCAGGGCAGAAACTCACCTTGCATGTCTCTTGTGAGTCATGAATGCACAGAAGGCCTTTGCAGAGTGGAAAGGTCTGATAAACTTAAATTACAGTGAATAGTTCATGCACCTTAACTGGTTCCGGTTTGCTTCCCTCATAAACACCCATTCTGCTACACATATATGTTGCATGTACAACATTAGATACTACCACACTCATTAGGTGCAATAGTTTTTTAGAGTATGCTGTTTAAAAAGTGCATATTTGTCCATATGGAAATGTAGCTTCTGGGTCCCAGAAGTAAGAGGGATGTCTCTTTGGGATATCCTTTGTTACACAAAGGAGACTTTGAGAAGTGGGAGTTACTGGAAAGCATAGAATGGGGAGGGGGAGAATGGGATAGCTAGGTATGAGAAACTTTGTTTGAGGTAGCAAGCAGTATGTCCTGAACGGAGGAATGAGGGATAGATCAGAGAGATATCTAACCCTCTGGACTAAAGCAGGATCCTTCATATATCAGCTCTCAAAGAAGGATACTGATTTTCCAGGTATGCAGAGGAACTCTGCCTGCCCATCCCCTTTCCATTATCTTATTTTTTGGGTCAATGCTAAGAGCCTTTTGCTTTGGCTGGGACTGGCTGTGCTCACTTACACACCCCTGCCAAGACTCTGATCCAAGGGGCTCAAGTCCTGAAGAACTGAAGGCAACTGAGAAGTTACAGAGTGAATGAACTCCCAACAGGCTTTTATTGAGTTTCCTGAATTATGGACAGAGGTGGCCACAGGACTATGGGCACTCAATACACAAAATGTTGACTGTATATTCAAATGGGGTGGGAAAGACAGCAAGGGGAGAATAAGAACAACTTGAAACAAATGCCCGTCCTAAGGCCTGGCATCATATTTGAATTGCAGATCTGGACTTTGAAAGGCCAACAGAAATGAACTGGCAAGTTTCTTGGGAGCTGAGACTGCAAGTTAAAATGGGCGAGGGGGTTGCCCTAAATGACTAAGCCTTGTTTCATTTTCTAGGAGTTTAAGGCCACTAAGGTTACTGGGACAACTCCAGATTTATGACAGCCTAGATCACGTGGCAGAACTAATGCTGGAGTTGCCGGAGCTCTCTGTGACCCCTGAGGACTCCTTGCTCCCCAGGGGCTGATAGTTCTGACTCCCAGATTTCTGCACTGCCAAAACTGGCCTTTGGGCTTATTCAGGCTCAACTAATAGTGAGTCTCCCAAGGCAAATGCAAGTCAAATGATCCTGCCATGCCTGGGCGAGTCATATGATTTGCAAAGAACACCCTGTGTGAGATGGGGCTAAGCCAGAAATAGCCACTCGCGGGGGCTATGTGGGCCTTGTTGTAATTTCACCTTGTTACCCTGGCTCTCCCTTTAATGCCATTACCAAAGAGCATTAAAAAAAACCCAGATTGTCTCAAGGGGACGCACGACCATTCAGCCACCCACATACCTACCTCACAGGCCGAGATAATGCAGCTGAAGTGCCCTCTGCATGCTTCCGGATGTATTCCCTGGATCTTATGTCTGCCTAGAATCAGGGTAGAGAACAGAAGACAGTTTGTTTAGACCGGCTGGTGCTGCAGCTCTATCTAGGGAACTGGGTAAAAAGTCCAAACTACACTTTTAACTGGCCAAAACATTCAGCCAGAAAACCACATCCTTGACATCTACCTATTATGGACTGCACCTTCCAGAAACCAAGCACTGAAAATCAAGCCAAGGGAAAAATTCATGTCTTGTCTCAGTGGGAGGCACATAAGAATTAACAAGGGGCAGACCCGCGATACTCCCGGGGGGGGGGGGGAGGAAGCTCCTCCACCTCCCATCCCCCCCCCCTCGGCTCTCTTCCTGCCCCCCGGCTCCGAAGCGAGGTCCGCTCCTCCGTTCTTCCCTCACAACAACCCTGAGAGGTAGGCCAGCTTGAGCAAGAAAGTGTATGACGCAGTACTGGCCGGTCCCGTGACGACAGGGAACCGACACCGCGACCTTCCCAACAGCAGCAGCAAGCTAGGGCCACCCCACTCTCTGCCCATGCTCAGAATCATGTTCGGCGTCCCCGGGCGGTTCCGGGACCGAGGCGCTGAGTCCCTTGCCCTTCCCGTCCCTGAGCCCGCCCCTTCGGTCTCGACTTGAGCAGCAGGAGAGCGGCCGCTTTCGCTTTCTGCGCCTGGCCGGCGAGATGGGAGGGACGCGTTGCCGCTGCTCCTTGGAGCTCCTGTACTCGGCGCTGCTCTCGCTGCTGCTGCTGCTGGAGGCAAAGGTAGGCTAGCGGGAGAACGCCGCGGGCCCGGGAAACGGGCGAGGGGCGGTGGCGTCTTTCGGAGAGGCTGTTCCCCCCCGTCCGGCTCCGAACCAGGCCCAGGAGGCTGCAGCCACCCGGGCCTCGCTGTTCTCCTGCCTGCCCGGCTGGCCGGCTGGCTCCGAGGCCGCGGCGGCTGCTGCAGAGCGTTTCCTGCGCATGCGCAGGAAACGCTCTGTCGGTTTGGGGGGGATTTAAATATCCCCCCGATATTTTGGGGTTTTTTTTAGATTTTTCTGCACACCTGGGGACTGCCCCATGTGTGCACAAACCTCTCCCTCCCCCCCAGGTCCCCCCGATGTGCAGATTTAAGCATCCACACAGAGGGGACCACTTCACTATTAGATATATAGATTCTGAAAACCCCTTTTCAACAGCCTTGATTCTTTAAGGGCAATAAAGGGCTCTATAGCCAGGGGAAATATATTACCCCATCTCTCGCAGCCCAGCTTGCATTTGCCATCAACAGCTCAGCAGACAAAGTGCTATGGGGCAGCCCAGGTGCCACAAAAATTGCTGGGTGGACCAACGTCAATGGGACAAAATCTTTTTGATGGCTCTGCCCCCCCCCCCCAACTACTGCCAAATGTTGGAGTAATTTTTATTTATTTACTGATTTCATTAATGGCTTGTCTTTCTTGCTGAGATTCAGGGCAGTTTACAAAATATAAGAAACAGTTCAACCAGAGAACATAAACAATGCAACAAGATTGGATTACAAAACTAGAAAACAATGCAACCAAAAATCTAAGGCATGACATACCATTATGCAAAAAGTGGATTACAGAGATAGAAAAAAATGCAATATAAGCAAGGTGATACATAAAATAAACAATTACAATAGACTGAAAGCCTATTCCCATATAAAAGCATCTTCCTGAGCTGTTCCATTCTACTACAGTTCTAATACCTTTATATAAAAAAATGACCTCCTGAAGATTTCTATTTTGTGCATTCTTTAAAACGATGGACATGTGGGGGCCTCCTTGATCTTTCCAGGCAGGCAGTTCCACAAGATGGGAGCCACAACAGAGGATGCACATGTACAGGCCACTGTTTATCTTATCTGTTTGAAGTGTGGCACCTTCATGCAGCAGAGCATAGTAGGAGGGATGCTCCTGCAGGTATGTGGATCCAAGGCCATTAAGAGTTTTGTAGGTGATGATCACCTTGAATTGAACCCAACAACTGATATAACTAATGGAATGACTGCAGAATGGATGTGATATACATGTTTCATCTAGCCACAAATAGCAGCCCAGCTGCAGTCTTCTATATCAACTGGGAGTTTCTGAAGGCACTCTTGTAGACTGTATTGCCATAGTCTAGGCCTGCGGTTACAGTGGCATAGATCCACATGGCCAGACTGGCAAAGTGAAGGCAGGGAGCCATCTTACAGGCTAAATGAAGACGGAAGAAAGGATTTTTGCAGCTATATTAACTTGCTTCTTCAGTAATATTTCTGGGTCTGTTATGACCCTTAGGCTCCTAACTGAGTGAGTGCTTGCGTTACCCCATCAAAGACCTCAGCTTTCCTAACCAGCATCAACTCAGTCTTGTCGGGATTCAGTTTCAACTTGTACATCCTTGGCCATTTAACCCCAGCAGTCAGGCAGTAGCTCAAGTCATCAGGTGATTTAGACAAAGAAACATAGAACTGGGTGTTGTCAGCATATTGATGTCAACCTACTCTAAAACCATAAATGATTTCTCCTAAGGGCTTGACATAGAGATTAAATAGTATGGTGAATATGACTGAGCCCTGTGGAACCTCACAAGACAAGTCCCACACTGGTGACAGCTGGTCTTCAACAGCCATCCAATCCTCTGAGTCCCATCCATAAGGAACGATTTCAACCAATTCAAGGCACATCCTTTAATCTTTACTTCTACCTCCAAATGCCTCAAAAAGATGGCATGGTCCACCACAGTATAAAAGGCTGGTGATAAATCCAGTAAGAGCAAACAGCATCTCAAAGAGCATCTCAAACAGAGATGATTGACTAAAGCCATCAGCACCATCTCTGGCCTCTAACCCAGCCTGAAGCCAGAATGAAAAGGGTCTAGAGCAGATGAATTACCCAGGAAAACGCAGACATTTTGCAATTGCTCTCCATCATCCTGCCCAGGGCACATTGGAGACCTGGCAATAATGGCTACATCACTCTTCTCTAGCAGTGCTTTTTTTTTTTTAAGTAGTGGACAGATGACTGCCTTTTTCACTGACCAAGGAACGGAGCCCTGAGTCAGTGACTATTTTTACGATGGATATCAGAACTATGTAATTCTTACATGATTTCAGCAACCAGCATGGATAAGAATCCAAAGTACAAGTGGTGGCCACCACAGATGCCATCGACATCAATCATAGTAATTGGGTCATATGTAAGCCACAGTTTGGTAATGGATTCTGGCTGGGCTGAATGCACAGTGGATTGGGTGGGGGCATTCATTGAATTCTGTGATGGGTTCTGTGGGTTTGGGACATGTCCTTGTTCTGCTAGGCTTTCACACAAGGCTCTAGACCCTGGCGCACACTGATGACATGTCCCAGAACTTAGCAGGGCCTACTGCTGTGTGCTGCAGTGCATCTCAGACTCTTCCTGCCAACCCTTCAGAGTTATCAGGGAGAAGGCAAGGCAAGGAGGGTCTCATTTTACACCGTCCAGCCAGGAGGAGGCTCGGAGGATGATGCTCACACAAGTGCAGAAAACCATTGAGCCCCAGATGACTGCATGGTGGCAGCAGGGAGGGCTCAGTCTGCATGGCATAGCCTTCATAAGGCATGGAGGCCTCTGAGCACAGCCCAAGGTATGAGATCTAGTAAATATCCACTTTCAGAATCCTTCCAGGTCTCCCACCAACAACAGAGGAAAAGGCCGCCCCCAGGGCCGGATTTAGACTTGCTGAGGCCCTAAGCTATACAAAACCCAGAGCCCCCCTACTGTTTTAAATTACATCAGGTGGTCTCAGAAAAATTTAAAATATATATGCCTTTTTAATATTTGAAATCATTTTTTATATTGTGTTTTTATTCGAGGCCCCAGCAGATTGCGAGGCCCTAAGCTGTAGCTTATTTAGCTTATGCGTAAATCCGGCACTGGCCGCCCCTATCCAATAAGTGCACTATTCTGCAGAATTCTTTTGAGAGTTTGTCCATTTTTAGAGATAATGACTGTGTGAAATCCAGCCCTCATTGCTCCTGACACCACCCAGCCATTCCTCTCACAAGCCGTCTCCCATCTTGACTGTCTCCTTGGTCACACTGAGCCCTCAGCAGCCCCATTTGCTGGTAGGGCAGATGTGCTTTCCCATCCTCCAGGCACTTCTGAGGCTGCTTTTCTCCCTCACCTCACAAGTCCCTAATCCCCTCTGGATCCAAACCCCACGTATAGAGCCTGAAGCAAAACTAGTTTGCCAGTTCTGTCAGGAAGTGCTGAAAGGAAAAATCTTTAATCTTCTCCCTCTGCAGTTGAGTTCCTCACTAATGTTCTCTGCAACATCACTGCAGCTAAACAAATGGCTTTGAGAGAGAAGCTCACAGATAGGCAGAGGCAGCAATTCACTGTCATGCGGACACAATGGAAACGGCAGCCAAAGAATGGCTGGACTGATTCAAATCAGTCCCCTGTCCCAGTTCCTCTCAGGACATACCCAAGAGTGGCACAACAGGGAGACTGTTGCAAGGTGTGTCTCTTCTCATCACAAAGCCATGCCTGGCAGAATCCCCCATCTGACAAAGGGAGATCTGACTCTTGACAGCTCATAATCCAAAAAACTTGTTGGTCTCTGAGGTGCTACTGGACTTGAAACTAGAATTCCCTAGGCAACTCTTACAAGTTCTAGAGCTCTCTTGGGATCTGGCAACTCTGCTCCCCTGGCTCCTTGGCCTACAATTTCCTAGTCTCCAAAGCTTCAGCTAATGTTCCTCTCTCTGCTGGACCTGCATTCTGTCTCACCCCCACCTTCTCCATTTATTTATTTTACAGTCCACCTTTCTTAAGGAAATATTCCTTCCTACTGATTCTCCCACCTTTAGGCACAATGCGAAGTGCTCAGTAGCTTCCAATAGCTCAGTACTGCAGTGCCTTTTCCTTGCATCACATTCTCCTCTGCCTTCCAGTGGCTTCAGTCTCAACCTCTTTTCCTTCTCTCCAATACTTGATTCTCAGTCCACTGGTAATGCTGCCCCTTTCCCTCAGCCATTTTTGGCTTAATGATTCTTACTT